TTTACGATGTGATACGAGATTTGAAAAGGGAGGGGAAAAAAGTTTGGCAAAAGGCGGGATCAAACTCGGGTCGAAAAGCCAACGGCACACGCTTATCCATCTGCGCCACTGGAGCTGATGTTTTACAGGCACTTTTAACTAAATGTAAATAGACACCCCGTATTTTTTATTCCATAGTAAGGGCAACTCATACACCAATAGCGCTGTCTCAAACTATACCTACCTTTTCCGGTTTGTCTGATTTGTCGTTGTGTTTTCTGACTTGTTATAATGTTTTCTGAATTGTTGTTGTGCTTCCTGAATTGTTATTTTGTTTTTTAGACTTGCATTTGCGTTTGTAATTTGTTATTTTGTTTTCAGAATTGTGATTTGTTTTGCACTTCTCGGCCACCGTACATTCGCCATGTGTCTGATAAACGCTGATCTTCTTCAGTTTCATGATGATCACACATCATGTTTTATAGGCCTTTATATAGGGGAACACTGACATTTATGTTTATTGTACGTTTATACATATATGTTTTGTATTTTAAAGACAAGTTCAATAATATCTCAAAAAATAATAATAATAATTTGTATATTTGAAAACTAAGAAAGATACATGCCTTATTTGTACCTTTATTTGTAAACATTTTATTTAGGGCTGTCAGTCGATTAACATTTTTAATCTAATTAATTACATGCATAGTGCGGCGATTAATTAATCTAATCACAAACTAAATTTGGCTGTGAAAATACCCACAAAAGATTATTTAAAGCTATTATTGTGTTAAAAGACAAAGTAGCATTAGAAATAAATATTTGATTCAACATAAAATGTATTACACAAACGTTTAGGCTACGACGGCCTAACATCATGTATGGAACAAAAAAAGAAAAGAGAAGATCATTTGAGAAACATCTCAGTATTTTTTGTTCATCCAATGAATGTCACTGGTAGCCAAAACAGCTTTGTTACCAACAGTCTTCAATTGTTGGCGATAAATGTTTTTATGATTTACTGAACTGTTGTATAAAATCACATTTGCACTCGTGTGATATTGCTGTCATTGCTTGTATGATATCGCTTACCATGTGATACGAGACAAAAATATGCTCATACAGGAGCTTTTTTGCCCCAATATCTTGAATTTTTAGCCATAACTGCATTTATGGAGTTGCCCTGCATCATATTTGTCAACCATAGATATGTCCAATGTCCATATGTATGTTGTCAACAGTCAACTATGAAATATAAGACGACGTGCGTTAACTGCGTTAAAATATTTTATTCGCGTTATTTTTCATAACTAATTAATTAAATTAATGCGTAAAACGGACAGCTCTAATTTTATTTCTATCCTTAATTTGATTTTATATTATTATTGTTGTTTATCCTAATGTACCCCCAGATGCATTTGTAATTCTTTAAATTCAATAAATTAAAAAAAGATATATAGCGGAACACTGTGGCTAGTTGTGATTATTTCTTTTTGCAAATTAATTTATTTTTGAAAGTCAGTTAGGCACATGTCTTTTATATTTTCAATACAAAAATGTTAAATGTAAAGTACAAATATAAGAAACCATTGTTTTGGCCTACATTTATATATATACATAATATATTAGTAAATTATAAATTTCCTCTGTTCAGTGTGTGTATACTATGTCACTTTTTTGATGGTTTGTCTGATGACAACTATCATGAAACATCAGGAAATCAATTTGAGAAGCGTTAACCACATGCCTACTTGGTGGTTGAACACTCATTTTGATTGCACAAACAACTCATGAGTCATATAATTATATGCTTTTTCTTTGTATTGAAAAAGCATATCTGTGCTGTTTCTTTCTGCCTGTCCAAGCAAAATTTTCCTTTCCTGTCTTAGCATATTTGATGAAAGCTGTCAATCATTATGCTTGTACGTAGAAAATCTAAACAGATGCACATTTATTTTTCTCTTACAGACACGCCTACCCACATGCAATGGATAAGTGATCTCCTTAGTTGGTTTGGTATATCCTTTTACTTTTAAGATGCAATGTTTAAATTTTAGTTCTAATCATGAGCATAACTAGCGCATCGCGCATAACAACAGTCGTTTTAGACTAAATAAAGGAAATTACACCCAGAGCAAAATATTGTACTTTAACAGCACACACGGCCTTGAGACTCAATCTGCAACTGTAAACAGTGGGGCGGGGCTTAGTTGCAAATCCCGCCTTATCCAATATGATTGGTTTGTAACAGTGTCGCGCGTAGCTATCGTCCAATCACACAACGTCCACAATGTACCGTCATACCACTTATTAATGCAGGAGGCGGGGCTTCTTAGAATACTGGTTGGGGAACAGAACAATCGTGTTGGAGCAGAGTAACGACGCCGTATAGCGACTGTAATTTTATACAAACAGAAGGCAGGACTCTTCAAAAGAAGGTAAAAATACATTAACTCCTATCCACTGTATTTTCATATCGAACCTTAAATTAAGAGTCATTTCGTATGGTGCTTGACCTGTTTTTAGGCCCATTTGCTCTTACATCACCATCCACCGTTAGTAGCGTGCGTGTTAATCATATTCTTTAAATGCATCGATCTAAATGCGTTAATACGAAGTCAAGAAAGTGCATTTTAATTTTGCATTGCTATACAGTATCAATATTGCGTCCTATCAAGAACACGAGATCGTCGGCCGTACACTGTGTTCTCATATCAGCTGTTATCAGTTGCATGCGTATCTGTTTACCATCAAACATTAAGCAGGTTTTCCAGATTGAAGGATACTTAAAATATATTGTTTAGTTGTTGAAAGCAGAATATGTTGATTAGGCCTACATAATGAGACATTAACATAACTTATATTTTTATAGACAGAATGACATTATAAAACAGCCTGCAGTCTCATACTTAGTCATTTGGAAGATATATGCCCAAGTTCACCACAGCATATGTATGATCTTTTATGACTTGCACTGTAATGCACAACATTTCACCCATGATTTCTTTCTTTGAAGGCAGGCCCAACCATGGGGAAGTCTCTGTTTTCTTTGCCAAAGCAAAAAGAGGACCAGGAGAACCTGACTGAAAACACAGAGTCTCCCACTGAGGACAATAAACATGATGTGTCACAGTTTCCATATGTTGAATTCACAGGCAGAGACAGCATCACCTGTCCTACTTGTCAAGGGACGGGGAGGACACCTAGAGGTGAGAACAGATCCATCTATCCATTTACCCACCCATTACTTTATACCAGGGGTGCCCAAACTCGGTCCTGCAGAGTTTAGTTCCAACTTGCCTCAACACACCTGCTGGTAAGTTTCTAGTATGCCTATAAGAGCTTGATTAGCTGGTTCAGGTGGGTTCAATTGGGGTTGGAGCTAAACTCTGCAGGACACCGGCCCTCCAGGACCGCGTTTGGGCACCCCTGCTTTATACCACTCAATGTAATATGAATATATAGCTTCAACTAAATGTTTAACATTAATAAATTGTTCTTAAACTTAGTGGTATGAATAAATAGTTTGAATAAATCATTATTTGGACTTGTAAAAGTTACATTTTGTGTACTTCCTATCTTGGACTTTCTCACAGACCAAGAAAACCAGCTAGTTGCTTTGATTCCATACAGTGACCAGAGGCTGAAGCCAAGACGAACGCAAGTTAATTTCAATATCCGATTCAAATCAGCATTGGATACTATATATTTTATGACTGACTGTATATTCTTGCACTATTACAGGACATTGTACGTGTCTTTATCAGTCGTTCTGTGTCTGCTACTTTCTGGTTTGGCTGTGTTCTTCCTGTTCCCTCGGACTATTGACGTCTCTTATGTTGGGGTGAAGTCAGCCTATGTCGCATACAATCGAGACCAGCGGATAATATATATAAATATCACGGTAATATCTATAGCAAACTCTTTTAATCAGTATTTCAGACTTGTTAACCAATGTTTGATTTGTGATTCTATTCTTTGTGTACTTGATCAGATGGGACTTTTGGCAAAGTCAGGGTTTTTTGTTTTATTTTGTTGCCATGTTTTTATTAAACTGTATTAAATAAGAGTATTGTTGTCTTTCTCAGAATACTCTGAACATCACCAACAATAATTACTACCCAGTACACGTGGCCAACATCACAGCGCAGGTGCAGTTCTACAAGACTGTGATTGGAAAGTCTATCGTCAGTAATGTCACCAGTATCACCCCTCTGGATATGCGTCAGGTCTGTGATAATTTATTCAAAAAAATAAATCATAACTAAGAATAATTTTATTTTTATATTTAATAATATTTTATAATTATTTATAAATAATTTTCCATACTATGTATAAATTATTTTTTTTTTATCTCATTTATACAGTAATCTATATATATTTTAAATTTAATATTTGGCGTTAAAGCTTTTATGTTTCATTATAAACCCAAAACTAATTTTGTATATATTATCTGCACAATATTAACTTTGTAGTAATTGTATAATTAATAATTGAATATTATTAAAACATTAAAAGTAATTTTTGCATTAAAAGTTATGTTTGCTAAAGTAAATATATATAGTAAAAGTGTATAATACAACTGTACCAATACAAATGCTTTTTCATAATTTTAATAAAATGCCTTACTGTTTCAAGCCTAAATTTGTATTCATGGTGAATACAAATTTTTGTACTTTACATTTTTGTATTGAAAATCACATGGCAGTTAAAGCCACATTTTAAGCAGTTATAGCCCCGTTAGAATTTTGAATAGCCCCGGTTTACTCTGACGTCATCAATATAATTTATTTTCTTAGCACCCCCACATATTGGTCTAGCCCCCCCTTAGCACCAGTAGAGAAAAAATTCTGGCGCCGTGCCTGATTTTAAGATAACAGAAATAAATAAGTGACCTGTATCCTCCCAATAAAGGCTGTATGATTTAGTCACATGACTTCTCCATATGTGCAATTACGTTGATAACAACTTTTGATAACATTGTTATCAATGTCAATGTTTTATTTTTAGGTTGATTACACTGTTCCCACCATCATAGCAAATGAGATGAACTACATATTGTGAGTATTTGTCAGTTGGGCCTTACATTATAATACAACCTTCATAAAGACAGTTTATCTTACTGATAGTGTTTTAGAATGAGTGTGATGGTTGCCTGACTCTGTTTTTACAGTGACTACTGTACCATGCCATCAATTAAAGTGCATAACATTGTTGTCATGATGCAGTAAGTATTCTATAATGGAAAATCTGACTCCTTTTAAGAATCATTGTTCAAAATTTTATGTAAATGAACAGACTGAAATTTTTTTTTGTTTGTTTATTGTATTTAGTGTTCTTCAGTTGAAAAGAATGATAGATCTTTATTAGATAAAATAATCATTAACCAAAATGTTATATAATAAATTCATATTATATTTGATTGATACTATGTTCTCTTCTCTCCAGGATGACTGTAACGGTCATGTACTTTGGCCACGCTGAGCAGGTGTCTCAGGAGAAGTACCTGTACGTGGACTGTGGCTCAAACACTACATCTTCACACGGACACATGAGTGTGATACAGTGATGTTCCTCTGTATGAACCACAGTTCCTCACGTTCCCTTGTGGTGAAACAAAAACCTGTTCTGAGTGTTACAAATGGCAGAAGATGAAGTCTGTACTGTAGGTAGAACACGTCAGGACTGATCAGCACGTTTCAGCCAGAGCGCTGATGTATTTCTACACCACCATCATTATCGATTCTTTAGCACAGCACTGAAGGTTTTGCTTGGATAGACAGAAGCACTTTAGTATATTTTGGTAGAAGGGATGACAGCAGCAGAATATTTTACATAGAGCTGCAAACACTCAAACCACCTTGACTACTCCGTTACAATTTTACTTTTTCCTGTGCGTTTTTTTGGTAATGTTAAACAGCGTTAAACATTTCCATTTGATCATGCTCGTTTTATTGTTATTTAGCTCTTTGCAGAGCAGGTACTTTTTTTTTTTGAGTATGGTGTTAACTTATATCAACATGCCAGCTTTCAGAAGTTCATGAGTTAATGAGAATTTTGTTTTAATCCATATTTTGGATTTTTCCAACCTATAAGACTGCAATAAAAAAAAAAAAAAAAAATTATACATAAATCCACCATTTCTGTTCAAAGGGAAATTTAGATTGAAGGTCTAAAATAATTTTGGAGAAAAAAAATGAAGTGGGCGGTTCTGAGGCCAATACAAAGTTGAACATGAATCGGGTGTCATAATAAAATATATTAAAATAGATATAAATTTACCTCACCAGGAATACCATATTTAGAAAAAAGGGAATGAAAAAGAAGGAAGGTTATTAATTTTGTATTATAAAAATGGACTTCTGTTAATTGTTCTTAAAGCATTTCTTCTGTCACATTTTAGTCAAATTTGACCATAATTTTTCTTCTTTTTGGTGTTGATGTATATCATTGATAACGAAGATGTTTCTCATTCACTTTAACCCTTTTGCTTGTCTTGTTTAGTTGGAATGGCACTTTTACAGCAAAACCTGTTTAAATTGTGTTTTATTTAAATGTTATCTTAAGGAAATTATCTATCAATAAATTAAATTTCTTTGATGAATTTGTCCATATATATTTTGTTCTCAAATCATTTTGTTGGCATTTAGGCACACTGCCAAGATCACGTTTTATTAAATACATTTTTTTTTTTATGTCTATCATATTACAGTAGTGTTCATGTTGTGGTGAGTCATATTAGTAAGGACTGAATAAATAAAAAGCATTGTCTATTTAATCCGATTACTTTGTGGGTTAGCCTGAAATAGAACATTTTTGTGAATCTTTTTATTAGTAATATAGTCAAGTCTCTTATGCTTTGTTAAACTAAAACAAAACCCATTAACAAATGTTAATTTTGTAGAGAAAAGTGTGGTTGCTGCAACAATCCACAAGATAGCGCATACAAGATATGGTGCTTCAATACAGGAATAGATCGAGTGAGGTAAAACACAATCATGAGATTTGGGGTTGAAATAATGTCTTCTAAAGGTTAGTAATGTCAAAAAAAAAAAGCTTTTATTTTTTGGAACCACTTAATTGTGGTGGGTGATAAAAAAAGATGTTAAAAAAACATTTAACCTCTAATATTGGGCATTGCATCCCCCTATGGCGGTCCACCAAAGTCTGAAGCAGTTATGGCTGTGTTCCTTTTCCATCTTAGGCGGGTAAATATTGTATGTTTAAAGTATTGTAATAAGCTGAAATGTTCAGGCACAACTGGTACCTGTATGCATTTGTGTTCTCAATGTGCTGTGCGTATGTGCAGTGTTTACATTTTCTTCTGAAGGAAAAACGATTCTGCACATCTGTTGATGTCATTAAAGTTCCTACTCACTTCCTCTCATGTTCCAGACCAGCAGCTCCTTCTGGTTCCACTTTAATGGGCCTCTGAAAGAAAGAGCATGTGATGTTACTGCATGCCTTGATTTACCATGAATGGACCACCAATTTCAGACAGATAGAGTTACAATATGCACTGTCCTGTACAGAACAGTCTGTAAGTTTGACATGGAGTCAGTCTTGCCAACAAAAGCATTTAACAATGATGTCTAAAAACAACAAATAACCAGGGATCCAAAATGTTACCAAAATTCAATTTTAGTTCATACATGTAATTGAGAGAGTGAAATACGTTTGCTGTGGTCTGAAAACTTGGTGCTGGAAATTCATCGAGGAGGAGGGAAATTCTCAGGACATCTGCAGAATCCATTTCCTGGGATCAGCAAAGTGAAAAAAATATATGAGAGGAGAATTCTTTTAAACAACATTAACATACCCATAGAAGCAGCTGGACTTCATAAAATCTGCAGATAGTCACATTTGCTAGAAATTATGCTATACAGCAATTTTAATGTTCTGTGTTCTTCTTTTCGCTGTTATTGTTCTCTTTTCTACAGTTGCTCCAATATTTTGGCACACTGTGGCTTAATTGCTTATTTTATATAAACACTAGAAGTTTTCGAAAGAAAGAAATTAATTTTATTCAACAAGGATGCAATAAATTGATCAAAAGTGACAGAGTGTCTTACAAAAGATTTTGATTTCAAATAAATGCTGTTCTTTAGAACTTTCTATTTAGCCTGAAAAAAAAAATCAGCTTTGCCATCACATGAATAAATTACATTTGAAAATGTATTCAAATAGAGATCAGTCATTTTAAATTGGAATCATATTTCACAATATTACTGTTTTTACTGTATTATTGATCAAGTAAATGCAGCCTTGCTAAGCATAAGAGACGTCTTTCGAAGATATTTCAAAAAATGACTAAACATTTGAACGGTAATGTAATTAGATAAATATTTTAGATATAACTATTGATATGTGGCATATGAAAACAAATGCTGAAAATTGTCATTTTATATTTTTAAAAAACTTATGTTTTGTGAATTATTTCAGTTGAAGAATATGATTACACCATCTTTCTTTGAAATAATGTAATTGGTATCAGACTACCTTTTGGGACCACTTGTTGATGAAGTTTCGGACGTTTCTGACAAAAGACAGCCATAAACCACAGACAGCCACACACACTTGTCTAAACACACACTCTGAGCTTGTCTGTCTCTCAATCCTGTCTCACACATTCCTCAGTTAGTACTTTTCCAGCTGTGGCTCCCTGCAGTGCCATGTCTGTCCAGTAGATGATCACAGTGCAGTATGCTGTCCAAACATACATTCACCAGCACTCCCAGTCCTTCTGGATCCTTGTAAGAGTGTGGATATGAAAATGGCAGTGCTTTGCTGTACGTCCATGCAGCTCTTGCTGGTGGCACTGGCCGCTCTGGCTGGGATCTGTTTGGGAGGGTCCGACGGGCCCCGTGGAGTGGCTCTTCCTTTTGTCTTTGACCCCAAAGCGACGTGCGACCCACCTTGCAAACATGCTGGGATTTGCATCCGAAACAACAGCTGCTTCTGCTCAAGAGGATATGAGGGAGAAACCTGCCAATATGGTGAGGTTTCAAGATACTTGCTCTGCAGTGGTTTTGAGTTGAATGTGTGTGTGTGTGTGTGTGTGTCAAACTTGTGTTTTATATATTTAATTGGCCAAAACTCACATGATTTGCATGTTGATTTCAGCAAACTGTTATCCAAAGTGTAAAAACGGTGGAGAGTGCCTTCGACCTGGAAAATGTAGATGCCCTTCAGGATTTGGAGGAAAATACTGTCACAAAGGTAACTGTAAATTAATTTCCATTTTGTTTTTAATAGTTGTTGACAAGTTGAACACTAAAAACATTAATAAACCAGGTCACAAATAAGAGATTTAGAAGTCCAGCAGCACAGCTTTTAACTTATGTGGATGTGTTGTCCTTGTGTTTGTCAGTGGTTTGTGATGGTGGCTGTTGGAACGGTGGTGAGTGTATTGCTGTGAATGGAGAAGCAAAATGCATCTGTCCATCCAGCTGGACTGGCTCCAGATGCCAAGACGGTATGTTGATCCCATATTGTGTTATTTACATTTCACAAATCCATAATGTCAGCTGTTGCACTGAGACAGGGGAACAATTTCCACAATATGACAGTTGAAGAATGTGATATCAAAGCATTTTTATGATATACGTATAACTTTAATAAGTGCGACTAATTTTCATAATAAACAGAATTATTATATATTTAGTTCTGAAATTATTGGTCAGTCAGTGTTTCTGTTAAATAGACTTAAGAGCTAAAAAACTCACTAATATAGCAAAATGTCAAATGCTTTCACCTGCATTAACTTACATTCGTTGAACATTAGGCTACTTTTTGTCCCTCACGTCTTGTCGCGTTCCCCTAATGAAATCTGTGACATATGAGCGCTAGTCAATGGGATTGTGGATTTTGCCTTAGTACCGCCCATTGCCGAGGCAAGTGTTGTTTTCGTTTATTGAAAAAAGTGGAAATAAAATAAAATATGAATATTTGGTGGAAAATATTAACTTAAAATTGTCGCATTGGCAAGTAACTGATATAAAATAAGTTTAAGCTGAAATACTAAAATTGCTAAAAAAAAATAAAAAAAAAATAAAAATAAATGAAAGCTTATTAGAAATATTAAATATAAACATAAAAAATGCTAAAATTACACTGCAAATAGATATATTTTCCCCCTTGCGTAATGTAGTCTATATGATGCAGTGATATTAAAGAATATTTTTGACTTGAATACAACCAGTTAATTTAAAGAATATTTAAATGACTCGTCTAAGCCCTTTTATATATATATATATACAATATACTTAAAAAAACAATATGAATGTGTTTTAAAGTTATTTTTCATGAATTAATCGTCATTTACATGTACACAGATGTTAGTGTGGTATCTGGGTCACATGTTGATCATTTGTCTCTGTTTCCGTAGCGATCTGTCCACAGGGATGCAGGAACGGGGGCAGCTGTGTGGCTCCTGGAATCTGCAGCTGTCCAGAAGGATGGATAGGTGGAGCCTGCCACACAGGTGCGTGACCACACAGATTTATGAACAAGACTGTTCAGATGGTCTAGAATTACATTTTTGTTGTGCAGTTACTATTAACACTTTATTTAAATGGTGTGTAAATCCATTAGAGTTTACTCAATTTTAAAATGAAAGCATTTATCTCTTTGTCTGCAGCTGTGTGTAAAAAGCCGTGTCTGAATGGGGGGAAGTGTGTGTCTCCTAACACCTGTCGCTGTCGAGCTCCGTTCTCAGGCCCGCAGTGTGAAGAGAGGAAGAAGCTCTACTGATGTCAGAACAGTCTGACCTCTGACCTCCACAGTCCCTTAAATTGGTGCTAAAGTTAGGTGTTTGTTTGTTGAACCCTAACTGAACATGTGAGGAGTGTGATGTGTTTTCTACATTAACATTTATTAAGCAGTGTGTTTAGGATAACTGTCGAATTTTCTTGAAAATTGAAATAAAGTTCAAATTAAAATTCTGTGCGCGTGTAAACTTGATTTTTAAAAAGCAGAAACGTGATTGTGACCCATTTTTGTTTTTGACCACTTCTTTTTTTTTTTTATTGGGAAATGACATTAAGATCCATTTTTATGACTTCAAATGTACTGCATTTTTTATTTGAATTCTTCCAAAGCAATTTATAATATAACAGGAACATATTCATATTATAAAATATGCACACTGTAGTATATCACACACACAAAAAATGAATCAAATAAAAAATGAAAATAATCATTGCCAGAGCTGTGGAAGAGATTTAGACAAATACCCACAATCTAATACAAGGTCTAATAAAAGTCTGGTATTTTCTAATAGAAGTCCAATAAAAGTATCCTTCACTTTTAGGGCACTAATGCTTACATAGATACACACACAATCGCACACACCATAAATTTTTTACAGGGTGATAGAGTTGTCTTCAATTTCAGATCTTCATCACCTAGTCTGTAAATACAAAGTTTACAATCAGTTCATCTTTATGACCATAAATGTATGTACAAAGATCATTTTAAAGAGGAAATTAATAATGTCAATGTTTTTTTGGAGAAATGCTTACTTTAGTACCACAGGAAGGTCCAGTGTAACCCTGACGGCAGTGACAGAAATTTGGAAACACACATCTCCCTCCATTGAGGCACGTTTGTTTACAGACTGCTGTTAGGAAAATAAAATAAACATTGATATTAAATGAACTAATATTCTAATATTCTTCAAGCCAAAGATCAAACTATACCTTAACAGTAAAAATATGATCGATGTGACCTCAATACACTGACAAGACGTGAGAAATCATTAGGAATTGATCAGGACTTACGAGTTTGGCACTGCAGACCCTCCCATCCAGCTGGACAGTGACATGTGTTCAGCCCCACACACTCTCCACCATTCTTACATTTCTGTAAACATGCCGCTGAATACACACATACAGAAAACACTGCAGGTTATGTTGCAAAGACGGGGCTTTAATAAATGATCAAATGTGTACATATAGAACATATACTACAGTTTAAATACTTTTGAAACACTGGTAGTAGTAGATTAAAAAACATTATTTCAATATTACTATTTTTACTGTATTTTTGATCAAATAAATGCAGCCTTGATGATCTTACGGATGTTGCAGATCTCTCCTCTCCACCCAGATGGACAGGAACAGGTGTTTGGACCGACACACTTTCCGTTGTTCATGCACATGGGGTCACACACACCTGAAAGCATTGCATAAACATGTCCAAACAGATTATATGATAGAATGCATGCTGGATGTAGAAACAAATCACAACAACAGAAAAGAAGCAAATTCGAAGTGACACTCACTTTTCTGGCATCTCTTCCCAGTGTATCCTTCAGGACAGGAGCACACGTTGTTCCTCATGCACTGGCCTCTGTTTTTACATGGTGGACTACACAGAGCTACAAAATAAATGACACACAAATAAATAATAATCACATAATTAAGGCCATTCATTAATTGTACAGCATTATTTCCATGAAATAAAAATAGGTTGTACCTATCTGACACTGTGAACCATAGAAGCCACTAGGACAAGCACAGATGTTTGGTTTGATACAAGTCCCTCCGTTTAAGCACAAAGGCTTACAGTCGGCTGAGAATGAAAACAACCAAGGAATTGATTCTAATCACATTTAGTAAATGGATAGTCTACACAAAAATGAAAATTCAGTCTTCATTTACTCTTATGATGTTCCAAACCTGTATGACTTGCTTTTTCTTCGGTGGAACATAAAAAGAAGATATTTTGAAGAATGTTGGTAACCATATAGTTTCAGTTCCCATTGACTTCCATTGCATTCTTTGTCCATACAGCGGAAGTCAATTTTCATGTTTGTGTAGACTATGACTTTAATAAACATGATTTAAAATGAAGACAAGTTTAATTTTTTGGGGTCTTTTTTTTTTTTTACAGACATTTCTGATCAAATTTAAGAATGAATTAGCACACCTGAGTTACACGTTGGTCCATACCAGCCTTGCTTACACTTACAGACATCAGGCGACACACACTCGCCGCCATTTTCACAATGTCTGTTACACACCACTAAGAAAGCACAAAGGCAATGATACACAATCATTATGAACAAAATTCTTTGTATTTAGATCATGCACTGGCCTCTGTTTTTACATGGTGGACTACACAGAGCTACGAAATAAATGACACACAAATAAATAATAATCACATAATTAAGGCCATTCATTAATTGCACAGCTTTATTTCCATGAAATAAAAATAGGTTGTACCTATCTGACACTGTGAACCATAGAAGCCACTAGGACAAGCACAGATGTTTGGTTTGATACAAGTCCCTCCGTTTAAGCACAAAGGCTTACAGTCGGCTGAGAATGAAAACAACCAAGGAATTGATTCTAATCACATTTAGTAAATGGATAGCCTACACAAAAAAATGAAAATTCGGTCTTCATTTACTCTTATGATGTTCCAAACCTGTATGACTTGCTTTTTCTTCGGTGGAACATAAAAGAAGATATTTTGAAGAATGTTGGTAACCATATAGTTTCAGTTCCCATTGACTTCCATTGCATTCTTTGTCCATACAGCGGAAGTCAATGGAAACTGAAACTGTTTGATTACCAGCATTCTTCAAACTATTTTCCCTTATGTTACACCGAAGAAAGAAAGTCATACAGGTTTGGAACATCATAAGGGTGAGTAAACGAAGACATAATTTTCATGTTTGTGTAGACTATGACTTTAATAAACATGATTTAAAATGAAGACAAGTTTAATTTTTTGGGGTCTTTTTTTTTTACAGATATTTCTGATCAAATTTAAGAATGAATTAGCGCACCTGAGTTACACGTTGGTCCATACCAGCCTTGCTTACACTTACAGACATCAGGCGACACACACTCGCCGCCATTTTCACAATGTCTGTTACACACCACTAAGAAAGCACAAAGGCAATGACACACAATCATTATGAACAAAATTCTTTGTATTTAGCAATCTGGAAGTGTCTGCTCACTAGTTTCACATCTTGGTCCCACGTAGCCGTAAGGGCAAGTGCAGTAATTTCTGGACAAACAGCGGCCACCGTGTTGACAAGGCGGATCACAGCTGGCTGAGAGACAAGATGTGTACATTTATATAATATCCTCTGAAACCCTCAAAACATGCATATTTTGTAAAGCTGTAAAGAAAATCATTATGCAGAGAGAGTTTACCTTCATTACAGGTGGGGCCGTTGTACCCTGCAGGACATTCACACACATTGGGCTTCACACACTTTCCTTTGTTCTTGCAGTCCGGTCGGCACACAGCTGATGGAAGAAGACATAACTGGTGTGACTTTGAAATGATTCATAATAACAAGTCATAATTAAAATGAGTAATCAAATCTTTAAATGTCTGCCAAGCTAAATGAACTGACCGATGTGGCAGTTGTATCCAGTGTAACCCTCTTTACAGGTACAAGTGTTGGGCTGTGAGCACTCCATATTCTGACCACAAGGGTAACGGCACACAGCTACACACACACAGGCAATTTAAATCATGTTAAAAAAATATATATTTCATTTTATAAATTCATTATATTAATAATATTTTAAGGTCAAGCTCACAAAAATACTTGTGCTAAAGTCAACCGAAAATATATTTAGCAAAAAAAAGAATCCTTAATTGAAATTTTGCATTTTGACATTACTTTCATGCAAAGTTGAGAATATTTTCCTTATCATTCATAAAATATTAATAAAATAATAAAGCATTAAATACATTAAAAATATAAAAATACATTGCATGCATCATGGTAGGCTGGATTTAAAGTACTGAATTTATTTGTGTTGATTTTTATTGCCTTTTTTTGCATTATTATTTGTTTTTGTTTTTTCATATAATCCAGACACTTATTTATATATATATATATATATATATATATATATTTATTTATTTTTTTCTTTCATGAGCATCAACTATAATAATGAACAATGTTTTTTATGCATCATAAGACGGCTCACGTTTGCAGGTAATTCCATTTCCTTTATAGCCGTGTGGACAGTTTCCACATCTGAAGGAGCCAGAGGAAGCCGCTTCACAAGGTACTCCAGAGAAACACGGGGAGTCCGCACAGGTTCTGTTATCCTCAGCGTGTTCAGGGTTCAATTCTTCTTCATTCAGCTGCTCTCTACTTGAACTTGCTTTTGCATTCGTGTTGATCTGGTCTAGGGTGTGTGTGGTGGTCTTCCTATCAACAGATGAGGTCCACTTGTTCCTAGGAGGAGATCGTTCAGCTCCAATAGGACGTTCAGCTGAGGGTGTGGCCAAAGAGGAAGGGACATCAGAGAGCTTGTCACCCTTTCTGAATGGTGTCTGCCCTGTGGGACACTATGGGTTAGAAGGTCGAGCCTGAAGACTATGTATCCTGGTTTCTCTCTGTAAGAATTTTACTGTTAATGATAACGTTCGTATAAAGAGAAGCAACTGACTGTTTGCGGTCCTTGACAAGCATGTTTGTCCATTGCCGCTGAGCCCAGGAGGACAGGGACCACATATGTAACCAGCAGATGTGTATGTGCTCTCAAAGCACTGGACTCCAGGATAACATGGCCGACTGGCACATGGGCTCTGCCCTTCAGAGGGTACAGTATGTACATATTTACAATCATCACATACTATGCACTATGCATTTTTGAGGTAAAAAAACATGACATAAAAGGTCAATTTCTGAGGTCATTTTGACTTTTTATGTCATAATTATGACTTTTGATCTAATAATTTCTACTTTTTGGTCAAAGCTGTTTTGTCATAATTAACTAATGTCATAATTATTACTGTATTTGTCATTGTTTAAACTTAATATCATGAGTTTAATATCTATTTCGAATTTTTATGTCACAACTGTTTTTGTCAATTTCAACTATTGTCACAATTTCAACTATTTGTCAATCTTGACTTTTTATGTCTTAAGTGTTTTAATGTCAACTTTGACTTGCTGTTTTATCTCATAATTGTGACTCTGTATGATTAATAATTTTTACTTTTTAGCTCATAATCATGACTTAGTATCTCATAATTGCATCTTTTTGTGTCATAATTATGGTTTACCAAAGCATGAAAACCTGTACATATAAATTGGTCTATTTGTTCATGTATATGTATACATACAGTATGTGTATTTTATTCATCTAAGTTTACTTTTATTTTTATTATCTGTGTGTTATTGTTGTTGTCTCTATGTACTGGTGCTTCTTCTGTCACCAAAAACAAAACAAAAACACATTCCTTGTGTGTACGAACATACTTGCCAATAAATCTGATTCTGATTCTGAATCTTTTCTGCCTCTTAAGGAACTTTTTCAATGGACTATTTGACCATAAAGGTAAAAGTATAAGATATAAACGTACGGCTGCAGGTCTTTCCATCTCCAGTGAGGTGGTCAGGACAGAGTCCACATAAGAATGAGCCCATCGTGTTTCTGCAAGAAACACCTGGGTAACATGGAACTGATAAGCATTCATCAATGTCCTCATCGCAGATTACACCTGTAAAACACACCAGCAGGAGACTCTCAGTTGTGTACAAGGAACAACTACACCGATATGATAATAAATCCACTTTTAAATGAGTAAATTGTTTTTACAATATTTCTTTAGGTGATCATATGGCTATAAGTGAATTGACCTGTAAGGCCCTCTGGACAGTGGCAGGTAAAGGAGCTCAGTCCATCCACACATGTTCCAGAGAAGCATGGGTTTGACCTGCAGTCATCCACATCAACTTCACACCTGTCCCCCTCCAGACCAGCAGGGCAAACACACAGGTATTCACCAGTCCCCGGGGGGAAGTTAATGTTGGTCACACAGGAAGCTCCATTCTCACAGTCACATGGGTGAACTGACACCTGGGAAAAATAATATGAAACCATATACATACTGTACCAAATATATATACATATACTATCATTCAAAAGTTTGGGGTTGATACAAATTTTTTTACGTTTTTTAATTTGTTTTTAAAGTCTATACTCACAGAGGCTGTATTTATTTATTTATGTATTGTAGTTATGAAAAAAAAGTAGTGCTGAATTTAAAAACAGTTGTGCTGCTTAATATTTTTGAGAAATATTAGAAAATAGAAAGTTCAAAAGAACACCATTTATTTGCAACAGAAAACATTTAAATGTCTTTACTGTCAGTTTTGATCGATTTAATGCATCCTTTCTTTAAAAAAAACGTGATATATGCCAAGTGGCTTACATATGTACCTATTAAATATATAATTATTCCAATTATTTATTGGCAATATACATATGTGACCCTGGACCACAAACCCAGTCATAAGGGTCATTTTTTTGAAATTGAGATTTATACATCATATGAAAGCTTTCCATTGATGTATGGTTTGTTATGATAGGACAATATTTGGTCGAGATACAACTATTTGAAAATCTGGAATCTGAGGGTGCAAAAAAATCAAAATACTGAGAAAATCGCCTTTAAAGTTGTCCAAATGAAGTTCTGAGCAATGCATATTACTAATCAAAAATTAAGTTTTGATATGTTTACGGTAGGAAATTTACAAAATATCTTCATAGAGCATGATCTTTACTTAATATCCTAATGATTTTTGGCATAAAAGACAAATCGATAATTTTGACCCATACAATGTTTTTTGGCTATTGCTACAAATATACCCAAGCGACTTAAGACTGGTTTTGTGGTCCAGGGTCACATATTATGAAACTGTTCTACTGATCTAAGAATTCAGAAAGGTTTTTGGAAGCCATTTGGCACCCCCTCGTGGACAACAACGGAGACACAAAACTGTATTTCCAGCAATCTATAGTATTCAGAATGAACTTTAGGCCTTCAGGTGCATATTTGTGTAGAAGCAACATTTCACCAGATGGCCTCTAGATCTCACCTTCACCGCTGCACGTGTCTCTGCATTACAGTCATCAGTTACAGCCAGTTCAAAGGTCACCGGTTTGGTGGACAGAGCTTTCCAGATGAGCAGGCCAGCTGGAGAGAGAACAACATTTCTGGGTCCTGACTTGAGTGTGAAGAGAACCGCAGAGCCCTCCGGATCAGTGGCTGAGAACTGATAGACAAAATCCTCTCCATAGAATGTCTTCAGACTGGACTGATCAGTGTGAAACACAGGTGGCTCGTTTTCTACAATCAAACACAGATCATCAGAACAAGGACTATGGCATGACTTTAACCAGAGAACATCAGTCAACTTTATTTACATTGGAAAATACATATATATTATGCGCTTTTATGCTTTCTGGTGCTTACGTCACCCTGCTCGTGACGTCTCGCTGCTCCATTGGACGGATTTGACACGTGCTTCAGAACGCGGTCACGCAAGGGCGTTCCCAAAGCGACTCGACGCAGCTCGAGTTCCTGAAGGGGAACTATATTTTCATCATTTATTGAGCTTTTAAGTTTGTGATGTATAACTGTTGTAGAAGAGTGAAAATAACATATTAAAGTGTAAAACTGTTTGAACAGCTTAAAAAAATCAAACAGGACCAATTACTATGCAAGCATATCCGTCTATGGAAAAATATGACATAAGACTCAACAAGGAAGCCTTTTTTAAATAGTAGAATATGAAAGTTCTCCGGTTTTAGGAAAAACAACCCCTGAAAATACATCATTGCTCTAAAACGACAATATAGATTTTATGACCAGTGCTCAAAACATTAATTTGAAATAAGACTGAACATACTCTCAGCAACGGACCAGCTGTACGTGGAAAGACGCGGTCTGCATGTCAAACATGGGCTGCTCGGGCTGTGATCCCCCTCTCCATAACACAGGCCATCAATATTACATGTTCTGTTCTGAGGAGATATTTAGGAAAAACTATTCAACTTGAAAACTACACAGACAAAACAATGTGCAACAAATATCATTATCATTAGATTTTTTTTGTGATTGCTTAAAATTGCATGCTCATCTTAAAATTTATTCCTGGATTTAACCATAGCGTGTGAGAGAGCCCCAGGTTTAGAAAAGTGAACAATGCTAGCTTTGTTTGGCTGATCTTGACCTGAAATTATTTTGCTGTACATAATTGCAAGGCTGAATGCTAAATTGTTTCCTGTATTTAAGAGACTCGTGTAGACATAAATGATGAACAGTGCATGTGAACACTTAAAAAATGTGCACTGAATTTGTCACTGTATCATTAAAATGTGAAGAAACACCATTTAACCAAATTACAAACATCATGGTGAAGACTTTTTTTTTCCTGCTGAGAAATGTAGTTTAATGGTTTCAGAAATGTAGCTACAAACACAGCAGATACAGTCTTTCTACAGTGTCTTATCAACACGCTGGTCTTGATCTGGATATCTAAATCTCTAATATGGACTTTGTGAATGAGATATTTTTTTTATTTTGTGGTGATTTGTGATTAATGGGACTGGGACCTGACAATATAATTAGAAGAGAGTGCTGCATCCAAAACCAAAACAGAAGTGAATGAGAATGGATAGCACAGACCTTTAGTGAGCAGATAACCGAGGTGCTGATCGTACAAATCTGACATGTGCCATCAAAAAGAGTCAGAATCTTTGCATTGCTGAAGCTGTGTCCATCATTAGACACCTAGAAAACGAATAAACAGGTCATTTTCAACCAGTTTGTAAGTTATTCTGAATACACTTTAGTTTTAAATAATAGTTTAGAGTTTAATCACTTTGATTTGCCAGCGTAAGACTGGTTGGTGAGCAGTGGAGGAGGATTGTGGGTCATCCAAAGAGAGTTGGCACTCTAATGAGGAAGAACTCTGGAAGGAGGCGGGCACCAATCGAGCATCATCCAAAGACCATTCACCGTCTACTATCTATGTAGACAGAACAATATATATTCAAGCTAATAATATTTATATTTATGCCAAATGCGATGCTTGAGTTTAATGCTTGTGCAGTTTGTTACCTTTTCCTTCACCACTTCGCACTTGAGCTTGTAGGACTTTTTAAAGCCTTGACCAAGAACCCTAACAGAGGAACAGACGCCATAACGGACATCACACAGTCCTCCATTCTCCAATTCTGTGATCTCTGGAGTCTCATCTGCATCAGGAAAACAGATTAACTGAAAAACAGGCTAAAACAAATGAAATGCAGGTCAAAATAATCGGCATCAACTTACATTTCCCCATACTCATATGCAAAACTAATTTGTAAAATCCCATTCAAGGCCATGCAGAATTAACCATTTTTATTATATTTATTTATTTATTTCATTTTCATTTTTTGTTCTCCTCTTAAGATCAGTTTTAATTGTTAGATTGAGGAACGGATGCACAACATATCCATTAACTTAAAAAAAAAAAAAAAGACAAATCATGATTTCATGAATAATGCATACATAGAATTGTATTTTTCAGGTGCTGTAACTGGTCTCAACTTTTTCATTTGTCAATCTTTTTGACTTGTTCACTAGTTCACTTTAAATATCTTGTGGTGCAGGGTTTTTATTGTTAACTAAAACGGCAACTAAAACTATTAAAAAGAATTTTCGTTTTTTGAAATAAAGGTAAATTAAAATAAAACTTAAAAAAAAAAAACTTAAATATCTAAACAAAGTTAGAAATTCTTTCTTGGCAACTAACCAAAATAAAATAAGTTAAAGTTGAAGTACTAAAAGTACGAAATTAATCACTAAAGAATTACTCAAATTGAACTTAAGTTAAAGCTAAATTAAACATTAAAAAATAATGAAAAAAAGACAAGCACATAACAAACTTACTAAATAAAAAGTAAACCCAAATTCAAAATAATAATAAATTATAATAAATTATAAAGTACAATAAACACTAATAATAAAAAATATAATATTCCATGCCACCTCTCAATTAATATGAGCTCATATGCATATGCAAGCTCTTGCACAATTGGTAGCTGACTAAATACTTTTTTTCCCCACTGTAATTATATATGAAAAAATGTTGTTTAAATTAATTTTATATGGAGTATAACTTCAATTATATCAACTACGCATATACAGACAGACTCACCAGACACCTGGCTACAATCATAAGAGCCAAATCCAGGGAAGCACGAGCAGCCCCAATCTGTGCACTGTCCGTTCCCGCTACACAAGCTCGGGCACCTAAGGGAGGCCAGAATGTCCTGGTTTTCCTTCCTCCTGCCAACATCCTCTACCACCCTCCTCTCACACTCATTCTCCAGGAGGGGCATGGTGGCTCCTATCCAGGTCTGATCATCCTTCAGTTGTTGGTCTAATACACACATTTCCAATGCCTGCTCCAAAATCTCACCCAGGAGATGCCCACAACCCAACCCCACCGTGGAGTTCCTCAGGGTTCCTTCGCAGAGCCGCCAAGCCTTGGATTCTGTCAGGCCTGACTCAGTAGGCCAGGATGGTACCAGTGGTTCAGGTGAATTCGATGAAGAATGGTCCTCTGGGAAATTATACGTGGACTCCTCAAGGTCTGGTTGTTTTGGAGATGATCTGGAGCTTCGGCTTGGGACACGTCTCTGAGTTTGGGATCTCTGTGGGTTTATAACACGTCTTTGACTCTGGGATCTTTGGGGATTCATAACACGTTTCTGAATTTGGGATCTCTGGGTGTTTGTTCTGCTTCGCTGTGCTGGACGGTAGTGCGTCGGTCTACGGGGAGGGATAGACGTCTCTCTATGAAGTTGCGCAGACTTCATGTACTCAGCTGTTACATCCAGTGTAGGGATGATGGAGGGAGATTGGATGCGGGTAGAGGAAGAACACTTAGAGGAAACGGTGGACTGAGGTGATGCTCCGCTGGATGATTGGTGTTTCTCTTGTTGACATTGGCAGTACTCAGGAAGACTGGAGTTGGTTTCATAGGTGGGGATTTTGTCAAACAAGCTGCTACTTGGTGCCAACCTGGTGTTTAGGAAGCATAATAAACCATATTAAGGAGGGATGCACAATAAATAGTGCTGTCAATCGATTAATCTCATCCAAAATAAACGTTTTTGTTTACTTAATATATGTGTGTACTGTGTATATTTATTATGTATATATAAATACACACACATGCATGTATATATTTAAGAAAAATATGTTAAGTTTATACATTTAAATTTTTAATATATAATATCAATTGTATGAATATAAATATATACATGGAAATATTTTCAAAATATATACTGTATGTGTGTGTATTTATATATACATAATAAATATACAAATATATTATGTAAACAAAAACTTTTAATTTGGATGCAATTAATCACAATTAATCGTTTGACAGCACTAACAATAAATCAACACCATATTTGGTTAACAGATATTTTTTTATGTATCAATAGTTATTGTATATACACTACTGGTAAAAATGTATGGGGCCAGTCATATTTTCTAAAATAAATAAATATTATTATTTAGCAAGGATACATCAAATTGATCAAAAGTGGAAGTTAAGAGATTCATAATGTAACAAAAGATAGAAATAAAAAACACTAATAAAAAAGCAGCACAAATGTTTTTAAGATTGAAATGAATAATAAGAAATGTGTCTTGAGTACCAAATTGGCATATTAGAATGATTTCTGAAGGATCATGTGACAATAAAGCTGAATATTCAGCTTTGTCATCATATGAATAAATTACATTTTAAAATATATTAAAATAGAAAACAGTTATCTTGAAAGTTAATAATTTTTCACAATATTACAATTGTTGCTGTAAGTCTAATCAAATAAATGCAGCCTTTCTGAGCATAAAAGACTTTAAAATAAATAAATAAATAAAAACACTAACAATTTAATAGCACTGTTAAATACAAATATATGAATAATTGTAATATTATTAGGGCTAAATTTACTTGCTCCAAATAATTTAGATTTTTGGCTTATCAGCTGTTTATTGGTTGTCGGCTAATTATCATTATTAACCATAATTTTGATATTGGTGCATCCCTAAAAAGAATCTAAGGCAAGCATCACTAAAACTTTAGCTCATACTTACAGTTAATATTTTAGTTAAAGATTTTACAATTTTGTTGTCAACAATGTCTTTTTGTCATTATTGATAGTTTTCTATTAATATGTCTATCATTTTGATTCATTTGCTTTAGTTTATTTAGTTTTAATACTTCAAGTTAAACCAAACTAAAAATTATAAATATCTTGAAAATATTTTTTATATTTTATTTCAGTTAACATTTATTGCAAGTAACAAAATATTTTAAGAAATATTAAAATATTTTAGTTTTAGGTAACCACAATAACCCTGGCTTACAAGTATATACAGTATATTCGTAAACCATATGCTTAACTATTGCATATATAATCTAAGTTGGCTCACCTGCACACTTTGAGGCGTGTAGCCGTTCCACAGGAAGTTGGTGCTGATTATGGGTTTGATGTGTATTTCTGTGCTTCGGTCTCCATCATTCCATATATCAGTAACTGCACTGTAGTGCACAGATGCCTGACTGCAGACTCCCTTATGACATGGGGTTTGAGACAGCTCCACCTCACAGGAGGACAGGACTAAATCAACGCCAAGGCCCTTCTCATCTGCCACTGGAGCCAAATCTTTAACATTTTAGTATGTAAAAAAAGAATATTTACTATTTGCAGATTTTCAAAGCACTGAGGGACATTTCTGACACATATTTTAAAGATTTAATATTTAGAACAAAATATTACAAGTTTGAGTCATAGGCAAAACCTATGTTCCAAAATCCAAAGATATTTTTTCTCATTATTGTATTAAAGCAGACAAAAACATACTGAAATTGTTTTTAATTAAAATAAGAACATATTCAAAATAATTAAAACAAATACTATTGTGAAAAAATGTATATTGTAATATTTGCACATACAGTAATGAGAAAAGGATTCTGATGGTCTAAAAATATATTTATTTTCTTTATAATATTATTTTTGACCACCTTGATTACTAGAAGTAAGATGCAAAAGCAAAGTGCATCTCTGTGAGGAACATGGTAAAGGTACTGTGGTCTCCACTATCAGTTCATACTCTCTCCCATCTTCTGAAATAGAGACAGCTTGTGGTTTCATCTGGAAAACATACATACAAATATGATAAGTCTAGTGGAAATTATATATTTAATTCAACATATCCTCGAGAACTGAGACATACTTGGATGCCTGCGTAAAACTCTTCACTCTCCACAGGAAGGCTTTGCATATCGGGAGACTCCAGAAAAAAACTAGTGCAACTGCAATGGATCTGAGACACAAAATATATAGCTTAAGGTTAATAAATAGGAATTTGAATAAATGTGAATACTGAATACAAAGTGGGTACCCTGTCTCCCAGTCGCAGATTAATTCCATCCAGCTCAATGAAAGCAAAGGTCTCTATTGTAGTGTCTTTCCTGAGCTCTTCTCTGGTGCCCTCGGGCGAGAGTCGCCACCATGTCACCACATATCCCAGAGAACTGTTCCCACTACTGTCAGCAAACGTACACTTCAGGAACACACTGCTGCCGGAGAGCTCAGCAACTATCAGAGGTATTGCAGAAGAGGGGGGCTGTAGTTCTGAGGGAGAATTGACAAATACTGTACTTCAAAAATCAAATACAAGTAATATATACTATCAATATCTTAATTATAGAAATACATTTGTATAACCGATATTGGTTTTTTGACAGCCGATGCTGATGCCAATATCTTGGAAAGCAGGGTGGCCGATGGCCGATATAAATGTTTTTATTTTAATTAATATTTAAGAAATTTGAAATAATTTGATAATGGATAAAAAAATTAATTTGTAAAATAAACATACTTATACTTTAGATGACAAAGTATTTTTCACAAATAAATATTTAATAAAAATATAATTAAAAAGGAAGTAAACTGTAACCAACAGAGCACTCAGTTTTCTGGGAATCATATTTTTTCAAATAAAGCCAAGGTAACACTCATTTTACATACAGCACACAGTGAAAATGACATGAATATGACAGTGGGCAAATGCATAAAGCGCAGCATAATTTGAAATCACAAATTTAATGTTTAAAGCATTCAGTTTGCAGGACCAAAAGTCACCCAGAGAACATGCGATCATGCAGGACACACATGCACACTTCACAAGATGGTGTGGTTCACAGATCCACAGCTGGATTCCACTAAGTTTGCAAGGTTTGTGAAATAAAATTTTCATTAGCCATTCAAAGATTTGTTTAAATGATGTAAATGTGTATTTGCTGAATGCTGACGGCAAACGAGAAAGTATTATAATGTTTGCCTTTCTATTACTAATAATATAAAAGCGTGCCGTCAAAATAAAACTGTTTGGCCGCATGCATCGGCCAAACAGATAAACCTATCGGCCGATGCCGATATTTTAAAAATGCCAAATATCGGCCGATATATCTGCCTTGGTGATATATCGGTCGACCACAATGTATTTACACATTTAGAGAACATTAAAGCCATTCTGTGAAATAGAGGATGGTAACTAATTTTGGTTACCTCTAAAGCTGCCTTGAGACATATCTGTAACTTTTAACTTCAGACTATGCTAACTTTTACGAATCAAAAGAGTTTCACCAGAGTGAATTTGTAGCACATTAAAGCCATTTTGTGTGAAACAGAGGAGGGTAGCAGGTTGCTGTCAACAAGGCGAGGAGGCGACCCGCTCCATGTAAAATAAAACGCAAAATGGATGAATATGAATATGAAATGTCTTCAGTCTTCATTTCATGCGAATGTACATCATTTTACTAATATTTCTCAAAATTACCACTGATTTATTTTTGAGTAAAACTTTTTTAATTAGCAAGCAATGTACTGAGGGCATGTACCTTTAAGTGTGACCATACAAGGTAATTAATACATTTATATTTATATATATATATATATATATATATAATCATGATTTAGCCTATTAAATAATACATATAATTTTCTAATTCGAATAAATTACTCTCATTGCTCTCAGAAATAAGGCAACCAAAATGGTTGCCCAAAAATCTACGTAATATAGCTTAGTCTAAAGCAGAATGTTTATCGATCGACTTACCTTTCTGACCACTGACAGTTTTGTTTAAAATAATAAATATAAAAGCGATGAAATACTCCACACAGACGTTTAGACGCATTTCCGTCTCTAACGCTCTTTAGAAAGCCTCTAAGAGCGTGTCCAAAGCAATAACAAAATCCAGATTAATATCCCGAACGATATGTCGCGAAATGAAAGCTGGTGAAAAGAATATTTGATATGTCTTCAGCGCTTTTGAGGCGAACAGCGAGTGTTTCATGGGCTCCTGTCCAGACCACACACACCTCCTCCCGCTGGAGCATCTCGAGCTAACTGTCCCATTCTGCAGTCTTCGTTTAATATTTCACACATTGGCTACATATTTTAATCCTAACCTTTTCAGTTAAATATACTAATAAAAAGTGTACTGTAGTGTGTTGATATGACTATGATGAATGTGAATTTGTAAACAACGTCCCTAACTGTGGCATTAATTCCTCCACAATAATTTTGGCACGAATAAAGTTCTTTAAAAAAATAGTGTAGCTACTTGTTTACAAGTGAAGAGTAGGCTACTTGTATAATGAAGAGCAGGCTATGCTTGAGATGAAATGAGACGTGATATTTTTGATATTTATTTATTACGTATATATGCTACGTATTTATTTTCAACCAAGCTTTATAATAGCCTACAATGAAAAACATACATTACAACATATGTAATTAGACGCAAGACAAGGGAGGCTGGAGCATTTAAGGCCTATAAAAATGTTCAAAATGTCATTTTCACCACAAAATAAATATAATAGAACATTTTAGATGTAGTGCAAATGTCTGTGACTTTTGTTTGTTGTTAGTAAAGCGTTTTCAAAAGAGTTTTCTAAAAGTCCACAGGGGTAGAAGTGCCCACGGATGAAGAAACACCCAATAACAATTAATTTTATTGTCCCGTGATTTGCAGAATTCATCTTCCTTCCAGTCTGAATAGAGAAGCAGATGGTAATATTGTCTAGTCTACGTTTTTTTCAAGAATGCATGGCTGTTTTTCTCTTCTGTGTACCTTTCATCTCTTAATTTGTGGTGTAATGACAAGATAATATCCATCGTGTACCTACAGTAGCCTATTAAATATAGGCTAGTAAATTAATTGCAGCCCTCAAAGTTTAAGTTCATGCAATACCCGCTGCTGTTAGTTGAATTATTATGGCAAGCTACCAAATCAACAAGTTATGGCTCTGCTTATGTTGATCAACAGCTTTCTAATTAAACACTGACCTTACTGAGCATTAACAAGAATTATTCTTCACTGACTGTCCATTGCTGGGCTGTTTATATCAACATAATGATAATCAGCCAAAGTTCTGCTCTGAGAAAGTTAAACACAATCTGTTGTGTGATGCCTGCGAGACTTTGTGAAGGAATCACATAACCAGAGGCCATCTGTTAAACTGTTTTTATCAAGGCCACTCCTTCTCAAAGAAGATGTGAATAACATTCACGGGATGAAGACTGAGCACTGGCATAACACCATATGTTTCTCTACGAGAGGTGTTGACAGTCTGTATGAAATAATTCAATTTTTTCTCCAAACTGTATATTTTTACTGAATGATACTCATTAGGCAGAACGAATCCTCAACATATTCCCAGTGTTTTTACTTTGATATGGATAAAAGGGGTTAATGCAGTAAAACAGCTGTGACACCTAATGAGAAAAGCAGATGGTAAACAGTCATCAGTGGCAAGACTTTTCCATGATCTAAAGGTGTGATTAGCAATCAATATAACACAAAGTCTAAATGCTGCAAATGTATAAAAAAGAACTAAAGTGTTGGAAGCAGGAAAGTAAATGATTTAAAGGAATAGTTCACCCAAAAATGAGAATTCGTACTTACCTTCATGTTGTTTTAAACCTGTATGCTGTTATTTTCTTATTCTGGAATATAAAATGATCCTTTTTGTCCCCATATAATGACAGTGATCATGCTCCAAAGGTAATAAATTATATCATAAATTTAAGTAAGTACATTTAAAATGAAAGAAGATGGAAAGTCAACACAAAACAGCAATATAAGTAATAGCTAACGTGGTCTTCTGAGGCTTTTGTAAAATGAACATAAACCTCTGAGATTGCAGAGGACTCAATAGTCCATCTAGTCACTTGAAATGATCATTTGTGCTTTTTTAATGTATATGAAGGAAACTAAGAGGAGTGTAAATTGTAAACTTTTGCAAGGATGCTCTTGCTCTTTAAGCTCTTTAAGCTAAAATGCACTTTTCCATTGTTCAACATGTTCTTATTGTACCTCAAGACCAATCAGCAAAAGGGTTGTCCTTCCAGCTGGACATCTAACAATGTGCAATGGACAGTTTGGGTTAAGAGCTTTTGCTCTTTTAAAACATGACCCCATAAATCCCAGCTGTGACCTTTGACCTACTGGTTCAGCCACTTACAGTCTTGAGTTTGGTTCTGTCGGCTCTTTTCTTCTGGTCTGGAACTTTCATGTAAAGTTTATAGAGTATGTAGTCGAAATCAGAGTCAAGGTCAAGTCAATACCCTCCACTCTAAAGGTACAGGTTTGAATTAAGGCGTTTTATTATGATAAGCGTTTAATCTTTCAGAAAACTTTTTTCTGGTCTGTTAGTGAAATTTTATATGCTCATAATGTATTCACAATATGTTAGCTTTATCTGTTTTCTTCATCTATTCCCATCCCCAACCTTGAAAGATGATATAAAAATGACAGCAAATTATTGCTTTCCAGTGACTGCTGCCTTTATTACAGAACATTATAGGCTACAAAAGTATGCTTTATCTCGATTAGTTATTGCTTTACCGTTCTATAAATTATGTGATATTAAGATTTTGTAGATGTTTAAGAGGATTAGACAACGGAAATCGAGAGAGTTGGCGTCTTTAAATGAGTTGTTTGCTGACCTCTGCTGGTTTTGATTTGAAAGTACAAATTTAACTTTTGCATCCCCTTATAAAACACAAAAGCAACTTGCAAAATACTTAGCATTATTTAAACAGGAGTAATTTCATTCAGAATGCCAAAATGAGCATGAAAGAAATAAAATATGAACATGTCCTGCATTTGCTAAAAACATTAGAAAGATTTAATAGCCTATAACCTGCCCCCCCCCCATACACATTATCACGGTGAGGATTATTTGTAATTAATTCATTTATAACTGAATATGTGTCTGAAGATAGGTATTTCTTAATATAAAATGTTCCACAAAGTCTTTCATACTTAAACTGACTTTAATTCATAGTTTGATGGTTGCTAAGACGTCTCTTTGTTTCTTGAACAATGTCCCCACTGTGCTCTGTCCACAGGCAGAGTCTCTGAATGAGAACTTGAAACTCTTGCTGCCTGGCAACCTTGTTGTATCCACTACTCAATGCTGAGCTGGTTTAAAAAAATGTTTTGCTCAAACACAGCAATTTCAACTCTTTACTGTCTACTTTGTCATGGCTGAATGACAGCCACTCTGCTGTAAGAAAGGTAAGTGATTTAAATTGATTTGAGGAAGTCTTTCCTTTGAAATGTACTGTTGATAGAAATAGGTCTTGCTCAGTTTATTTATTCTTTCATTCTTGATGTTGTATTATGTCTCTATTATTAAAATAATGTTACATTTCTATCACCTAAATCTAATCTTGCACCTTTTGCATATGTAATATCCATTTATATAGATTCTTCATTAAGATGAAATGAAGTTTATGAGGTTGCTAATGAAAAGATTATGTAGCAATTTTATGCATTGTACATATTACTTAAAAAATGGTTTAGTAACCATTTTCACTCAGAAATTGCTATTAAATTTCTCAAATAAGTGCAAAGAATATGCAAGTAACACACTGAATTAAATGTGACATTTTGAAAGTTGATTTTCTTGCAAGTTGTACTCCAGTAATCTTTGTTTTATTTACAACTTGTGTATGGTTTGGTCTCAGATTATTGCGCCGAGCATAAAGATGTGGCTGATTCACAATGAATCTTCCTGAGCCTTTGGAAACTCCCATGTCTGTTGACCTCAGAAGAAAGCTGCTCTTTTCTGTGAGTCAGAACTTGATCTCAAGAAGGAGTTGTGGACTCATCCCACCACACCCAGTAGTTCCCATTGATCCATGGAACATAAAAGCCCCCGACTTCACCCCAAAACTGTACAGATCTTCGGGTTTGCCACGGATCAAGAGCAAAAACATTTACCTGGTTAAATCAAACAATAGTGTGGATGGAAAATCGTTAATTTTGGTAAAGATTAACGATGTTACTCCTTCAATATTGCCTGGACTTGAGAAAAAGGGATGTAAAGCACGACCATTTATCACATTCTACAAACCACCAGACACACTAGAGTCAAAACTGCTGTTTGTGAGTGCAGGGATGTATCCAGCGGGGCTGTACAAAGATCCAAAACCTCATAACTTCAGACCTGTAAGTTTCTACTAAGATTATGGCTTACTTTATCTGCATTGCACTACATCAACACTAGATGACAGTCTTTATAAGACATTGAAACACTCCTTATTCAAATGCAGTGTGCTGAGGTAATGCCGGAAATTGTGACTTCTTTAGAAAAGGATTCTGGGTGCTTGATCCTCAAGTCTCAGTGCCTAAAAGCAGGTAAAATTACTTGCATCATGTCTGAAAACAGAGAGAAACAAGAATGGTTTTTCAACATTGGTATAAATTGTGTTGCATGTGATTGCCCTTGTTTTCCCACTGTAATCAATCAATCTTGTAGTACTTATAACTCTAACAGTCATAAAATACTTTATATAGAGCAAAGGTCAGATACCTCGTGGCTTTGAAACCACGCAGTAAGCTTACATGTATTACTGATAAAGCTTTGCATTTTATTTCAATGTCTTCACAGTCAATGACAGCCATCCTGACATGAACCCTTCTCACAGAGACACAGCGAGCAAAATAGACACTTTCAAACCAGCAGAGCTTAAATGGGACTCAAGGCTCATACTACCAAAGACGCCATGGCCTCCAAAATCTGCGTCTTATACAGTGAGCACAAAGAGAACACTCATATTTATCTTCTACCCTTGAACAGACAGTTTATTAACCTTCTTGGAAACATTGTATTTCCTGTATTATAGAGACATCGCCGCAGAAGAGGAGTGTATAGTGCCTTAATAGACCGAGTTGAAGAAAAGCTGACCAACTCTTGGAGGAAATGAATCTGTTTTAAGACAAAAGAAAGAATTTTGTGTTGTGGTGTGCAGATAAAGCTAATTTAAACATCAATTTTCTGATTTGTCTAATGAGTCCTGCTGTTTTATGGAGAACCCCACATTATTATACACTTTTCTTTTTTTCCTTTCTTGTCTTCATTTTTAGCTTTCTTTTCTTCTGATAGATAGATGTTACAAATAGAGAAAAATTTTTTTTTGTATTGCATACACAAAATAAATGTTAGCACTGCATTAAAAGAAATACATACATATGCTACTTTTCAAACAAAATGTTAGAATTATTCATTTCATTTTTAAAATAATATATACATATGAAGAGTTCCAATGCAAAAGCCTCTAAAAGCCATTTTGGTCAAAAATGAGATAACAATACTGAGTGAATGCTCTCCACACATAGTATATGTTCATCAAGTACTTTCACTTCAAATGTGTTAAATCACAGCCTCAACCCATTCAGAAGTACCAGTACTTACATAGAAACCTATATAGTTCCTATATAAGAAATTCTAATTTTAAAGAAAAACGTCAGACGTACTTAGAGGCTTTTGCATCTGAAGTATATATATCCTCCTGACTACCAGGAAAAAACAGTTTTGGGAATTTAGTATTTTGTCATGTCATTACATTGTTTAGAGCATAAGAAAAAATTGTACAAATAAAATTTTTGAAAAATTATATTTTATTCATATGTTGTGCCATGTCCTCTGTAGAAGACATCGGGACTTTAAAAAGTCCTGTTTTTTAGGAAATAAAAAGACATGAATAGACATGAAAAGGCAAAAACAGTGGGATTTTTGTTTTAATCACAAATCAATTTTCAGTTTTTTTATACCAAACTTTATATAAAGACGATTCTCAACTATGTTATGAAAGATATTTTTAAAAAACATTTTTCTTTATGCAAAATGTGTGTAAAATGGCCATAAACAAGTTTTTCCATTATATACAATGTATCTATAAACTGTTTAATATGTATGCTAATTTGCATATTAATGTGTTTTTGGGGCAACATAGAATGAACAAATAAGTGCGATAATGGGAGTAATAATTAGCAAGATTTTCATAATAACATCTAATATTTAATAGGAATATTGATACATAATTTTTTCTCTATTCATTTGTTGTGTCTCCCAAAATGTGTAATAAACATGCTTTAAGTCCTGGGGCAAGTTCAAGCTCAAACCGGTGTGCACCGTTTTGCTACGGTTTCCGGTTTGAACGACATGTTTCCTGGAAACGGTGTGCAACGGTGTGCAACGGGGTTTGAGATACGTTTTCTCTTGTTTGGTGGGTGTGTCAAAAATGTCAGCCCAATCAGCAGCAACATGTACATATAAACCACGCGGTATTAAATAGACAGCTCACACAATGTAATTAACATTCAAATAAATTCACAATGCGTCAGCAGAACTCTCTTATCGGGCTCACTTTTATTGTTAGACCACCCTATTTATCTGTTCCTGGGAAATATGTTTGTTCCTGTGGGTTTACAGACTCGCATTCATATTGATATAATTTTTATATTCTTTGTGCGCTCCTTCTAGAAATGTGTAACTTAGTTGGGGTGAATGCCACATTTCGTTTAAATGCCAAACTATGAAATGTGCGCGAGATTGGATTCGTAATCTATATTTATATTCTGAGACTTTGCGTTTTTAATGTTTCTGTATCCTCCTAAATGTATTGTAAATATATAGAAATAATATTTATTAGATTTAATGTACACATTTAGGCACTGCTTTTAACTTCCTTTCAGATAGAGTGGGACAGAATGGTCTGAATACTTAGGACCATGTGATATTTAAGTTTTTTTTTTAAAATAAATCTGCAAAAATGTCAACAATTCTGTGTTTTTCTGTCAATATGGGGTGCTGTGTGTACATTAATGAGGAAAAAAAATTAACTTAAATGATTTTAGCAAATGGCTGCAATATAAAAAAGAGTGAAACATTTAAGGGGGTCTGAATACTTTCCGTACCCACTGTATATATATTTATATATATTTGTGTACTGACCTGTTTTTTATTTATTCATCACATGAAATTCCGCGTTATACAGTAAATTCCGTTTTTATGACTGGATTCCGTGATTCCGTCCATTTTTTCTGCATCGCGGAAATCATAGGGCCCTACTATTGTGGCAAAAGAATATGATGAGCTCATTATGAGAGTAAAAGACAGGGACATTGTTGTTTATTTACTTAGTAATTGAGTCTCTCCAACTAGGTGGCAACATAGCGTTAAATCACCATTCAACAGACTCAAGCCACCACCGCACTGCCGTCTATTGGACTGCAGAAAGATACTAACTTTTCAATCTGCTACGTTTCTGACTGTACTGACAAACTATGCTGACACCGTATCCTCGCCGCGACAAAGTGACCGTTGAAAATCATTTGAACTTTGTGTCACCACGTCATAAATAGAACGAGGCATCAGTTTACTGCATCCAGTGTAGACAACATCACTGATTATAATGGGTTCTCTTCTACACTGGACGCGAGCGGCACAGCGTGACAAAATACAATATAATTCTATTGTATTTTGTCGCGCCGTGCGATGTTATGTGACCGATGTGATAAGCGCGGCCGGTATAAACACCAGCATTGACTGAGTGGCCGCGATCAGCTCTGGTGGCCGTTACACAGGCTTCAATGCGCCGCAGACGCGTAGATCAGCTCTAGTCTCTAACGTCACTGAATCTGCTGTTAAAAATGAGCCATCCATTCATCATATCATCATGCAAAACTAAGAATTAGAATCATTGTAATGTGACGATCAAATATAGGTGCGGGTGGGTGGTGGGCAGATAATTTGAAGCAGCAGACTCGGGTGAAGTTTGAGCTCATCCGCGCATCTCTACACTACACTGATCTGGGTCGCCAGTAGCAAACAATGGAGCGCACTCTGCTGGACAAACTAAGTAATTACACCATTCAGAAGCATTTAATCTGCGTTATATGTTCTGTAAAAAAAATTTAATATCGGCGGCATATTCACAGATACCGATATATCGGCGACAGGCTCAATTCAGCCAATAATATCGGCTAAACGATATTAATCATTTTGTTTGGCATGTAAAATGGTAAGTTTTAAAATAGACACTCATACATAATTAATTGTGATTTTGCAGCCATGCAAATTGTATTAGATCTTTCAAAAGCCATTTAAAAACACCATATGTCTATGTGTGAACTTTTAGGCAAGCACTGGTTGTGCATCTGGGGTTTTGGACCTATGGAACATCATCCTAAACTCATATTGTTCTCATACTCCTGAGGGAAATGGGGAACGGATTATCAGAGCAACCCAACCTTCTCTCCAGTCTTCCGTTCTGTAATTCTCTTCACATCGCTATTCTGGGTCTGGATTTCGCAGGCAAAACGACGGTCCTGTACCGTCTGCAGTTCAATGAGTTTGTCAACACTGTCCCCACCAAAGGTTTCAATGCAGAGAAAGTCAAAGTAGCTGTCGGGCACTCACAAACAGTGACGTTTCACTTTTGGGACGTTGGCGGCCAGGAGAAACTGCGCCCTCTTTGGAAGTCCTACACACGGGGCACTGATGGCATCGTGTTTGTTGTGGACTCTCTGGACACGGAGAGAATGGAAGAGGCAAAGACAGAGCTTTACAAAATTGCCCGCTCCTCTGAAAATCAAGGAGTGCCTGTGTTGATTATTGCTAACAAGCAGGACTTGAGACAGGCTCTGTCACTGTCACAAATAGAGACCATGCTGGCTCTCAATGAACTGGGACCCTCTACACCGTGGCACCTGCAGCCCTCCTGTGCTATCATTGGAGACGGTCTCAAAGAGGGACTTGAAAGACTTCATGACATGATCCTAAAACGAAGAAAGATGCTCAAACAGCAAAAAAAAAAAAAGATAGACCGTAAAGGTATTATATAAAAGGAGGGGAAAAAAGAACAATGCAAGTTGATAGTTGCAAACTTTAATTTTTATGTGCCCAGAGTTGGTTAGAACCAACAAGCACTTTAGTTGTTTACTTTCTCATTGTTTACTTCTCTGTTTTTTTACTATCTGTCATAGACTTAGAAATATATAAACATAATATAAAGATTTTTCATCACACTGAAAGGTGATTCTTCTTGGAGGTTTTATTTAGATTGTTTATTTGCAATAAAATGGCTTGTTTATTCTAAATTGTCACTTCAAGTAATACAGTACTTTAACACATACGTCTGCCAAATATTATGTCTGGCCATATTTTATGGCCAGGTATTTTTCCTTGCACTATCATGTTAAAGGAATAGTTCACCCAACAATTAAAAATATGTGAATGAAAACCTATTTACATTATTTTATGTTCATGTTGTTCCCTGAACAATGACTTAAATTTAAATCTTTTTTACACAAAGCTATTGTATATAGGGATGCACAATATCAGTATCATATCAGTTATCAGTCAAGATTTTTTTTTTACTTGTAGTAATATTTGATATTTAATTGTGCATGCTCTTTAGTTTTACATTTAGACTATAATTGCAGTCATTTAATGCTCACTTCAAGATCAACTTTAAAAACACAAAAAATGTAATAACAGTTAACTGTAATAGGAATCTCCATTTTTCATGCCGTACATTATAATGTTGTGATGCCTACATTGATTTTAGTTTTTGTTTAATTTTTTTTAGACAATTGTAAAGATTTTTAATATAGATTTAACTGTTACAGTCCATAACATTAAAGTAATTATTGGCATATTAGTATGGTGCAGAATTTCAATATTAGTGCATTCCTTAGTACATGCCATTAGAAAACATAATGTACAGCACAAGTTATATGGTTTGCTGTTATGATACTTTTATGGTGCTTTGTGTCACTTTGGAGGTTTAATGATTCATACCCAATTCATTTCTTTCACACTAAGTCATACAGGTTGGTGAGGAAAATATATAATTTTTTTTATTTTGGAGTGAACTATCCCTTTAACACATCCCTTTAAAAAACAGTAGGCTACTTGGAGCCTTCCACCACATTCTTCTTTGGTTCAGTAATACTAAGGTGAGAATAAAAAGCAAATGCCTCTGCATCGTACATTACAAGACCAAAGGCCCCTCTGTCTGTTCTTATCAGATTAGAAATGACCCTTCACCTATGATCTATGTATCCACATTTGCAGGAATCAGAAACACTGAAAGAGCTCAACTGGAGGGGTTTTGTATGATTTATCTGCTGTGTATCACATGCTCCTCTAAATTCCAGTCCTGCCTCGTAAATCCAGAGCGACTGGGACTCTTACCTCCCTGTTCCATTGATGTCAGTAATGCTGCCTGGGATGGTGACAGACTGGAAAAAATCTGCTGTGCAGTTTCCTTTCCCACACTTTCGCTAGACTGATACTGAGCTACAGGTCAGTATCACACCTGCAGAATTTGGAAACCTGTTGGTTCCCCAGTAAAGTGGCGCTAAAAACACTTCTGTACACTTCAATCACGCTTAATGTATGAATTTCATTTATTTAATAATATACCAACCCAAAAAGCATCTGCATATAAATGTTTGCAGACATTTTCTCTAACTAACTGTATGTAATTTTCACGTAGATGTAGTTAATTTTGAATATGAACATGCTTGACTAAAGTTTGACAGCTAGCCAGAAGGTTTCTGAATACTTATTCTAAAGAGTATATCTATTTTGTCATTTAAAACCAACAATGTTTTTAATATTTTGCTTAAAGGGGTGGTTCAGTGGTTATTTTCTAGGCTTGATTGTGTTTATGGGGTGCAGTCTAACATGTGTTAATGCTTCGTTTAAAAAAAAAGGCAATTTTTTCACATAAGTTACCTTTATTCCACACCGCTCTGTCCCTTCTCTGAGAAACGCGCTGATCAATTTCCTTCTTTTATGAAGCCCCTCCCTCAGAAATAGGCGATGGGCTCTGATTGGTTAGATAGCCCAGTGTGTTGTGATTGGCTAAACCGCCTCTAGTGCGCTGCTTAACGTCCCGCCCCTCTCCTCAGCGGCATGTGCTCCGGTTGTATTGTAAACAAAGGCGTCGTTAAAGGGGGCATAACACACAACGCTTCACCCAATCTCATGTTAATCTTGACTACCTATAGAGTAGTACTGCATCCTTCATATCTCCAAAAAGTCTTTAGTTTGATCATATTTATAAAAGAAATATACAGCTTTGCGATTCTCTCCGGAAAAAGCCGAGCTCCTGGAGGCGCATTGTGGGCGGAGCTAAAGAGTGACGAGCACTTGAGTCGCTGAATGCCAACAAAACAGACATTTGATGCCGTTTCACTTACCGTCTGCAGTTCTAAATCATGACCGGGATCTTTTACAGCTGGGACCGCTCCATCTTTCAGTATCAAACGATCTGCAAATCCAGCATCGAACTGGGCCTGGTTTATAAACGTTCGTCAACAAACACACTTGTGAAACTCTGTTGCTGCCCCGGAAAAACAAACTGTATCCACTGTTTACATAACGCTGGGTTCTTTAGGAAGCTAAACAAAGTTATCTTTCCCTTACAACCAAAAACACATTTCTTTGGAGACATTCTTCCCGAGCAAGTCCAGTGCAGCGCTGCCTCCGGATAAAGCTCGTTGATGGACGCGATCTCGCTCTTTTGGTCTGGTCGATGTGTGCACGGGCGCGCTCTTCCGGGAGAAATGCCCATATAAGGAGTTCCACCCTCGTCTACGTCATGAAGAGCCACGATCGAAAAAACACTCTCCGAAACTTGTATGAACCCGGAAGTAAGACTTTTAGCTTTTTGTAGGCATTAAACTGCCAGAATTTTAAAAGACGATATCTCTGTTTGCATTGAACTTTCAGCTTCGTAACTTTGCAGATATTGTTTATGCTCAAACAACAACATTACACACTAACTAACGTTAAAAAAGTGAAATCGCAATGAACCACCCCTTTAAATAGCGTATTTGTTTATTTTGTATCAAGTGCAATGATATTCATATATATATATATATATATATATATATATATATATATTTTAATACTATAGCCCTCAGTTATGAAAGCCCATTTTAGATCAAAATAAAAAAGGTAACCGTTTTTTTTATCTCACAATCCTGACGTTTTCCTCACAATTCTGACTTTTTCCAGAATTTTTAGGTTTTATCTCGCAATTCCGGCTTTTTCTCTAAATTCTATATTGTCGCAACTGGTTTTTTTTCCACCACAAAATATAAATATAAGGTAATTGTGACTTTTTACGTTGCAATTCTGACTTTTTCCCCTAGTGATTGCAATTTTATTTGTAACTCACAACTCAGACTTTTTCTTTTCAGAATTGCGAGTGGAATCTTGCAGTTCAGCATTTATATGTTGCAATTTTGAGTTTGTCTTGTAATTCTACGATTATATGGAACTATTCTGAATTTTTTTCTCAGAATGTCACGAAGAGCATCAGAATTGTGAGAAAAGTTATAATTACCTTTATTATTATTATTTTTTATCCAATGGCAGAAACAAGCTTCCATACTAGCTCCATAGTGCAGACTTATGCTTAATCTATTTTTCTGCAACCTTTTTTTTAGAGAGAAAAAATGAGTAGATTATGTGAATGACCTCTTTTCTTTTCTCTGAACCACTGTGTGTAAAAGAATACAATTTAACAGAAAGAGGGAGTCTTTTTTGTTTTGATACATGGCCGTTTTCTAGAAATTCACAATTCTTTTTGTTGCTTTTAACCAGTTGTTGATACTTTTACTAGTTAAAACAGTTTTAGACATTGTTTCAAGGAAAAGTATGAGCTTGTTGTGTTCAGTTTATCTCAGAAACCCTGTAGTGCAGTGTATGAGATCGTGTGGGAAAGAGAGAGGTGTAATGACCTGGCTCTCCATGAAGACTCCCCCGTCTGTATCTGATGACAGTGTGTTGGAAGACTGCTTTTGTTGTTGAGCTCTGCTCTCATCTCATTCCAGCTTGAAGGATGAGGTCGGGGTAGATGGGGGTCTTGTAGCTGTTCCTCTGTCCTTTTGTGTGAAAAATTATTTCTCAGTGGGTTCAAAGCAGGTTCTGATGAACGTTAGATAAGGAGATTTTATGGGCTAAATAAGTAATGTTTTGGTGTTTTAGAACTAAGTAAACATTGTGTTCTGTAACCACAGAAGTCTGGTTTATATCAGTGTGCTACCACAGATAATGTGATCACTGCAAAGATCTTGAGCATGTTTAGCGTGGTAAATACTGATTGCGTTTAATCCCTATGGCTTTAGTTGTCATAAGGTCTGTATTCATCCTGATGCTTGTTGGTCCAGCCATGTCTGATCCAGCCTCAGCAATAAATTACTGCATTGAGAAACTAACTGGTGCTTGTCTCAGAGAATCATTGGTGACTGAGTTCCCACGGTCAAGGAAAAGTTTTTTAAATTGCTATTTCAGGTTCTGTGAAAGTCATGAAAATGATCAATTAGAAAAAAAAATATTCTTGTGAATTTTAATCGTAAGTACACATTTTTCCCCCTCAAGCTATATTAATGCTTGAAAATATTTATTTGGCTAGAAATGGTACAAAATTTGGGGTCAGTAAGATTTTTTTGTTTTTGAAAGCTTATACGAAACCTGGCTGCATGTATTAGATATAAAAACGGGGCCGCAAAGTATTATTACAATTTAAAATGAATGTTTACTGTTTTAATATATATATTTAATATATATTTTAAAATGCAATTTATTCCTGTGATGGCAAAGCTGAATTTTTAGTGTCGCATGATCCTTCAGAAATCATCCTTATATGCTGATTTGCTGAAACATTTCTTGTTAATGTAGTAAATAGTTGTGCTGCTTTTTTTTGTGAAGAATAGAACGTTTAAAAAACAGCATTTAGTTGAAATGGCAATGTTGAAAATCATGTCATGAAGATAGTCTTAGATGCTGACATAGCAATAAAAAATATCCTATACTGATTTTGAACAGTAGAGTATTTATCTATTTATTTTTTTTAATTGCGTATACAGTATTCATGAATAAATGCTGCAATGAAAGGCTAGGTTTTCAGTAAATAAATGTAATCATATGACTTAAGAATACAATTTATAGTTTTTAGTTATTTATTTATTTTCTCTTTTCATATCATAAACATTTACAACATGAAATATCCATACTCTGAAATGTCTCATTCAGCAAGTGTAGTGTTTCCAGTTAAGGAAGTTTTTCTTCGCAATAGCTGTTTATATAGTGCACACCTCTGCTGCATTTGTCTTTGTTTCTAGATAATAATAGATGGTTCTTAACTAGGAGTTACTTAATCTGTCATGCCACATAATTGCGGAAAAGCATTTAAATGATGAATTAAAGTTGTAGTAT